GCTAACACGTCTCCGCGAGGGAGAGACCAAACCCCAAGGATTCCATGACGGAAATGCCATGGGGTTAAACCCATATCCCGGAGGATAGGGGAAAGGTCCCGCGGGCTGGGAGTGACCCCAGAACTGGCCAAACTGGCCTGCCTGAGACTGGGGCTGGCCAACTTGCCCAAAGGGCGAAGGTGGACCGCCACTCCCTCCAGGTGGAAACCCGGACATGTACGGGCTAAGCCCGTAACTGCCGGGATGCTGCCGCAACCCAAAACCATCCGCAGGCTGGTAAGGGCGGCCCAAGGATGGTTGCCCGCAGACACCGGTATACCCTAAGCCAGGGGAAAATGGAGGCCGGAAACCGACCCCCTGTCCAGCAAACCCCACCCCTGGGGGAAACCCCCCAGGTTCCCAGAAGAATGAAACTCGGGACCGGACCTAATAGGACCGGGTCCGGGTAACTGACCGGGAGGGTACGTCTGACCAGCATTGATGCCGGGATTAGTGAGCTGCGCGTCACTAATCCCGGTAGACACAGACAATCCCGAAAGAAAGTATGTTGTCACACGAGGACCTGAACCCGAAAGAACAGGCCCGGCACCAAGACTGTCCCCAACGACAGCACCACCTGGAATGCCGGGATCACTGACAGAGTCAGTGACCGGCGGCCGGTAGTCCCTACCCGAATGCAAGCGCGAAAGCTTACGGGCGTTCCCGGCCAATTCGACCCTTGGCTGTGCCAAGCCAGGGTCGGGCTGCTCCTCCCCTACTCCTGGGAGTTCCTGGACAGGAAGGGCCACCCCCTGCTCACGAGAGGGACTCGCCGAAGCAAGACCCCCCGAGACAGGAATAGAGACAGTACCACCAGACCCCAGAGAGCTGGTGGCACGACCCCTACCTCTCTGCTTCCCTCGCTTACCGGAAGAAACAGACGAATCTGTCTTACGGTAAGTTGAGGGTAGCTTTGGAACAATGAAGTCCTTGCCCTGAGATTTTGACTGTGAACAAAGTTCACAAGGCGAAACCTCACTGCAAGGACGACACCTGGGACAGGCATCATGAGGGTCCCGTTCCACAAAGAAATGGGAACACCCATGAGCACTACCTCGTCGCTGTCCCGACCGAGACATACCCTCCAAAGCGAACGTAAACAAAAAATTTACAAGCAGATAAAACGGGAAAATAAGGATAAAATACGATAGTACAAAGTACGCAACGTAGAAAGAATTTCACCCGTAATATAAATCAGAAAACGGTTAAAATAAATAACGTTTGCCGAAACAAACAACCGTCACCGAAATAAACAGAGGTCGGAAATTAACCCACGATAATGGCGGACCGTGGCACACCACCGGCACACGTGGAGTAAAATAACCGGCCGTAAAAGGCACAAAAATAATTTTCAACAACAATTAGTTATATCAACAAGGGCAGATGGGTAAAAGGCACACAAACTGCGCAAAAATATGAGTTGACACTCAAACCAAACCGACAAAACAAAGTTTTGAAATGGAGCAAGCTCCGGGCGTCAGCAGGCAGCAGGCGCCATAAAAGGAAGAGGAAGGGAGATCACTCCGTGGCTCTGTCATCGAGATATAGATTACGTCACGGTAGGGAGGTAGGAATATTTGAATCTTTTGTTTTTGGGCTACAAAGATGGGTGTAGGTATTGTATATGCATACTAAAGTTATGGTAATTATTACTGAAATGAAAATTAAACTTTTAAGGATTCTAAGCATTTATTGTTATGAACCAGGAAACATTTTTCCTTTTATACTATTCCGTCTATATCAGTAAAACCCATATAAGTCTAATGTTAGCTTCACCCTTATCCGACACTTTG